ATCAGTGGGTGTTCCGCTGGCTTTCAGGCCCTGGATTCCTTATTTAAGAGTTCCTGATTCAATATCCAATGCCCCCACCGCACTTGTTATGGATAGTCGAACCAACATGCAAACATATCTCTAACACATCTCTGATGTTTCTGAAGCCGCATACCCCAAACTCATGCACAAGCTGACTGGACGGGGCGGGGACAGCAGCAGCACCAGGACACCTCCTCCTGGCCCCGCCTGTCGCCCGCCCCTCCTTGGCCCCCCCCCCTGGTGGCCGCGGGCCCGCCAGCCCGCTTGTCGCTCGTGGCTCCCTCCCCCCCTTCCCGCCGCCTTACCCCTCCGCCTCCCCTCCCTGGCTGGCTTCCGCGGGGGCAAGTGGTCCCCGACGGACGCTCTGCTTCGAGAGGGCGCCCGAAGCAGAGCGCCCGCCCCGGCAGAGCTCGCTCCCGGGGGCCTCTGGGCAGGGCGTGCACCCGCTGCCCAGGCTGCCCCCCCCCCTTCCGAAGGTCCCCCGAGGTCTTGGGAGGTCTCCGCTCCAGAGGTCGTCAGAAGGCACTCACCGGAACCCCGATCCAAGAAACGCGGGGCCGCGATCCAAGTGTCTTTTGGTGGCCTGCCAGCAGAACGCTTGGGTCGAGATCCAAAATTGTTCCCTGGATCGTGAATTCAGCCGCTCCCCTCTGGTGCGGGGAGGGGAGGGGAGGGGGGGGGAGGAGGGGGGTGTCCGCACGGGGATAGGACGAGGATAAATCCGTTCCAGAGCGTTGCGCAACGCTCTCAAAGCGTTCCGGAACGCTCTGAGAAGGCCGCGATGCCTGATACATTTTCCAGGGCCGCCGGATCTCAGAGGTTCTCGATTCCTCCTCACCCGAGTGTATCCTCGTCCTGGCTTCGTCGCCCATGCGCTCGCCCTCCTCAAACCCTCCTGCCGTCGGCACCCGGGCCGCTGCGCGCCACCTTCCGTTGCGGCAGGCGGGCAGCGCCGTGCCCGGTTCCTCAAGGCGAGGGGGGGCCGTAGGCCACAGGGGGGTGGTGGCCTCCCCCTGAAGCATCGTCATCGTCGAAGCGGTCATTCTTACTCTCTCTCTCTGGGCATTGCAAGGGGGGCGTTCCGCAGCTTGCATCACATGTTGTCGCTCCCATATTTTGTGTTGTGCGAGTGCCGATGGCCGGCCGCTTGCCCTCCTATTCTTCATCAGCCCACTGTATGCTGCCATCGGCGCTGTATCGCATACCGCTGGTGCCATTTTGCATGCGTTCTGGATCAGATACGGGATTGAGCAAGAGTGGGCTCTGTCTGGGTCACTCTTTGCACTTGCTCTCTTGCCTTTGTGACGCACTTTGAAGCCTTTGCATTAGTTGTCCTGGGTTAAGTGATGTCCGAGCCTGCGCGGCCGACCTTGGAGCTGCTCCCAACTCTGCCATGACTCTACGACGCGTGGCCCACTTGATGAAGGCTGCAGCTAGAATCGCCACGTTGCTTCTGAAGGCTTCTGAAGGCTTCATACTGAATCTCGCAGAATGCGAGGGCGCACATCCCGAAGTGGGCTAACATCTTCGCTGAGCTTTCAAGAGGCTTGCGCCATTCCGCCGGCCCCCAGACGAAGCGAGGTCTACTGGGCGTCTTGGTGTGCGTCTGGAAGCCTCGTCTGAGTTTCCAGGGCGCTTGCTGGCTCTTTATTGGACGCCGTCGCGCGCATGGAATGCCTTCAAGTGTCGGGGTACGTGGGAGGAGTGGCCGCCGCGCAGTCGCTATTCCGCGCATGGGGCTCTCGTATCCTGCGCTTCTCGGGTGGGAGCATTGAAATACCGTAGCACCCCGCAGTTGCGGATAAGAATGAGGGGGCGGCGGGGACGTCTGCAGTCTGCGAGGCTCCGAAGAAGCCCGCCGCAGGCGCCCAATTTTCATACATTCTACCACGGGCCCGCCGCAGGCGCCAAATTTTTGTTAAAGCAATGTGGGTGGGTCGCGGGGTGGGTCGCGGGTGGGTCGCGGGTGGGTCACGGGTGGGTCGCGGGCGGGTCGCGGGCGGGTCGCGGGGGGGTGGGGTCGCTGGTGGACGGCGGGTGGGTCGCTGGGTGGGTCGCGAGTGGGTCGCGGGAAGGTCGCGTGTGCGTCGCGGGTGGGTCGCCGGTGGGTCGCGGGTGGGTCGCGGGCGGGTCGCGGGCGGGTCGCGGGTCGCGGGTGGGTCGCTGGTGGGTCGCGGGCGGGTCGCGGGGTGGGTCGCGAGTGGGTCGCGGGCCGGGTCGCGGGGGGGACGACGCCCAACAACAACACCAACAACAACAATAATAACAGCAACAACGACAAACACAGCAACAACACCAACAACACCAACACCACCAACAACAATAACAACAACAATAATAACAACACCAACAACACTAACAACAACATAAACACCACCGACAACAACAACACCACCACCAGCAACAACAGCAATAACACCAACAACAACAACCGCAACAGCAACAACAACAGCAACGACAAACAACATTTGCAACAATAGCAACAACCGCAGCAACAACAACACCAACAACAACACCACCATCACCACCAACAACAACAGCAACAATCATTTCAAGACTGTTCGTTCCTATCTGTTCACGTGCCAATCATTACATGTATCCCAATCCCTCGGTACCCGCCCTCGTCGTCGTCGATCGTACCCCCTTGGGGGTATATCTTCCTTACCTGCCACGTGCATTCAGTGCAGCCCCTAGAACAAGGGAAGAGAGGACGGGTGGAAGGACTGGGGGATGTCGGTGGGAAGTGTCTTAGAGGATAATCGGCAGCCTGTCGGGGGTCTCATTTGAGCATTTCGAAGCCTCCTGAAGCGTATGGGGGCGTCTTCGGAGCTTGCTGGCGGCCTCTTGGAGCTTCGTCGAGGCTCCCAGGGGGTTTGGGAGGCACTCTTTGGGGCTTTTTGGAAGCCTCTTGGGCCAGTTGGGGGCCTTTGGGGTCGTCTTCTGGGGGAGGGCTCCCAGGGCCTCTGCAGGTTCCCCCTCTTGGGCCTCTCTTGGGTCCTTCTCGGGGCCGCATTCAGGTTTGTTTTGTCGTTTTGGGGGCCTCTTGGGCTGTCTTTGGGGCCCTGCTTGGCCGTCTCCAGGCCGTCTTGAGGGCCTCTTGGGCCGGCTTGGGCCAGTCTGGGGGGCCTCTTGGGCGGTCTTGAGCGCGCTCACGCCCGAGAGCCGAAAACTAGAAAATCATGCAACAACCAATATGAAAACACATTTTTTAAATGTTAAATCACTGTTTTTTGTCTCTGGGGACCCTTCGGGAGGGTCCTTTTGGGGCTTTCTTTCGGCGTCATCGGCCGTCTCGAGACTACCGTGGGTGTTATTGAGGCCTTTCCGGCGTATTGGAGCTCTTCTGGAGCCCTCTAAAAAAGTATTTTGGAATACATCTTGGCGACCACGGAGGGTGGATTTGAAGGCCAGGGTATCCCTCCCCTCCACCCTCCCTCCTCAAACGCAATTTTGGAGCCTGGAGGAGGAGGAAAGGGGGAGGATGACAGCCAAATGTCTCACACGCCTTCTCACCCCTGGCAAGCGGGGGTCGGTGGATTTACCGAGGCCTCTGGATGGGCCTTGACATTATTCCAGAGCGATCCTGGCGAGTCCCTTCGGACAAGCTTTCTTTACGCGCGCGTGCTTTGAGCCCAGGCTCCTTTGCCACTTTGCCACGAGTGAGTCCAGCGTCTTCTGTTCAACGCGTCTCCTTCCTGTCTTGAGCCTCGCCGCTCAGCTCGTGCCTCTCGCTCCTGCCGTTCCTCGTCCTGTGCTGGCGGTGCCTGCTAGCACGCCTGGTCTGCCCCTGGGTGCCCTCGACAGGGAGGCCTGGACTCGCGTTGGGGATGCGGGATGGCCCGGCGCTGCGCTCGTGGCCGGAAGCTGCTGCGGGCCGTCATGGTGCTGGAGTGCATCTGCTAGCTCACTGGTCTGCGATCTCGCGTGGCTGCGGCGGGGGACGAGATATCGCTTCATCTGCTTGGAAGCCGGGCGCTCACACTATCATATGCTGGTAATTCTTGGCGTTCGACGAATCTGCCAGTCGTGCTATATGTATTTCGTCTTTGCCGCCAGAAGCTCCTCCATCGAGCTCTCTGTTTCGTTGCTGCTGTTTCTCTGTCTCCTTCTCCTCCGCCCCGCCTGCCGCCCGTCCACGCTGGATGCGCTTCGACGCGCGCGATCAGGCGAGCCGCTCCTTGCTCTTTTCATTTGTAGCCTTTTGAAGTGATGGCCAGGCACAACGGGATATGTCGAGAACGTGCCCTGCAGACTCTTCTCATTGCTGTCCCTCCTGCTTGGGCCTGGCCTGTCCTCCGCACTCTTTGGGGCGCGTGGTGCACGTCATGCTGGATCTTGACTCCAGGCGGCCGCAACGATTGCATCTCCTTGGCTGTGTGATGTATACCGCTCGCCAGTGCCATTATGGCACCTGCCCGCAGGTTGGCTGGGCATTCTCCGCTGTCCTCGGTCGCGGCCTCTCCCCTCTGTATCCTCGCGCGCGCTGGGGTTTCCTCACTCTCATGATCAATATCGTCAAGTAGGTCTCGATCGCATGTCAAGCCTATCACGCGCTTCGCTTGTTGCCCAGACCATCTCGATTAATGATCTCCATTCAGTAGTCTTGGCGGCACGGTGCTTCGTTCGGATGTGCCTGGTGCGTTCCTTTGCTTAGTTCATTAAGCACCTCGTTCTTCTGCCACGTTCGTCTCCCCCTCCTCCTCCTCCTCCTCCCCCTCCTCCTCCTCCTCCTCCTCCTCCTCCTCCTCCTCCCTCCTCCTCCTCCTCCCCCCCCTCCTCCTCCTCCTCTTCCTCCTCATGATTACTCCTCTTCCTACTTTCTTCCTATTCCTCCCCTGCTTCTCCTCCCTCCTTTCTCCTCCTCGACGCTCCGTTCAGGGGGAGGGACACCAGCAGCAGCAGCAGCAGCAGCAGGATTCCCCTCCCTCCTCCTCGACGTCCTCCTCCTCGCGGCTCCCGCAGCCGCTGCGACCTCTGAGGTGGACGAGATCGACGGCTTCAGAGTGGGGGACAAGATCAAGCTCGAGAGCATCGACGGCGACGAGAAGGAGGATGCAGGGGGAGGGGGGGAGGAACTTCAGGCCATATATGCTGATTACAGGCCCATCGCCAGACTGTATGATGAATGAAGGGACCCCAAATAATGTATGTTGCGGAACACGCGCAGAGGCTTCAACGATCATTTGTAGTTCTATATTTTGTTTCAGATCGAGGCCTTTGAAGACTCGGCGTCGATGCTCATAGAGAGCTTGATTTTGGATTTGACGCCAAAGCTGACGGAGAGAAAGCGTGCTCGCAACGCTAGGGTCGAATCCCAAACGGCGACCAACGGAGCTTAGCATGGATCACAAAAACCTTCGAGGACCAGCAGCGCAGCATACGTCCCGCAGCCACTAGCAGCGGAGCTGCCCTCGCTGCCTCTGCGTCGACGCTGGTGGTATTCACCGCCTCTAGCACGGCAAGGGACCTGGCAGCCGACAGGCCTGGCACCGATCCGTCTCCACCCCCTCTTCCCTCCTCCCTCCTCCCTCCTCCCCCCTCCCTCCTCCCTCCTCGCTCTTCCCACCCACGCGCGCATCCCGCGATTGCAAAGGCTCGCGGAAGTGCACGTACCCTGCGAGAGTTCCAGCGGACAGGCGCATGAACGTGCAATCGGAGCCCATCACAGCTGCGCAGGGCAAGACGCCTGCGCACCCGAAGCCCAGACACTCACATCGTCATTAGTAGCGCTAGCAATGTGCGTCGCCTGTACCGTCTGCCGCGCCATCAGGTGGCGAGGTCGAAAGCCCATAGAACGCGAGTATTTATGACCGTAGCCGATAATAAGCTGGCGAGCCACATGCTGTGCACGCGCACTCAGTTGATGGCGTGAACAAGCTTATGCTGTACAGCTGCATCAGGTTGGGTATCAGCATTCTTGAGCGAGCTCTGACGATGCATGTTGTTCAACCGCATGCTGTTCACGCGCTTCTGCACGGGGAGAAGGAGGATGAGGATGAGGATGAGGATGATGAGGAGGAGGAGGAGGATGAGGAGGAGGAGGAGGAGGAGGAGGAGGAGGAGGAGGACAGGGTGGAGGACGTGAAGAGGGACATGGAGGAGCAAACGCAGTACGGCTATGAGTCAAGTTAGCCAGGTCGAACTTCAGGACACCTTTGCGCAGCGCTGCGGCGAGAGCAACCTCCAGCCCCCCCTCGGGCGGCCGCGTGTCCGACGCCTGCGGCGACGGCGAGGCCTGCATCGCGCCGAAGCAGCGCGCCGGTGCGCGGCGGCTCCCTAGGCGAGGGCAGCTCTTCGCCTGCGCTCGTGCGGCCCAGTCGCCGCGGTGCGTGTCCATGCGGTGCGGCGGGCGAAGCGGGCGCCGCGCCCCAGGCGGGAGCGCCTTTTCCAGGCGAGTGCTGCACGTAGCCTGGGCGAAAGGGCGGCAAGTCGCCCGCTCGCTGCGTGGCCTTTTGCCCAACACGACGCAGCGAGTGCAAGATATATGGCTGCGCCGAAGCGGGAGGAGCGCCGCTTTCGGGCGAAGGCTGCACGGCGCCAGGGCGAAAGCGACATTTCGCCCTTTCGCACGGGATCTGCGCCCACTCTCATTCCCGCCATGCAGTTTGCAATGTCGACGCCCAAACGTCCATGTTGAAAAGGAGACTGCCGCTTCAACCTGTTTTTGGTTGGTGGGAAGGGGTCGTCCGGGATTGAGGGGCTATCGGCCGGCTATGTGGCCAAGTGGGAATGCTTCGTAGCATTTCAGACCAAGTATCTGAGGAGGATGCAGAAGTGGAAAAAAGTGGAGAGACACGATAATGAGACTGATGATGAGGATCATGAGGGGAACTCCTACCCATGTCCTCCTTTTGTACAACTAATCAATATGCGTACTATTACACTATTCTCCTCCCTCCCTTCCGCAGATGTCCTGAGAGTCGCTCGCTCCCCTCCGTTTTTGTTTGTTTGTTTGTTTGTTTGTGTAAAGTATGCGCATGTTATTGTTAGTATTGCTGTTGATGGTTTTTATCTTATGTTCATTAAACAAGAATACATATATACGTACATATATATTTGTATATATATATATATATGTGTATATACATATTGTCTCCATATGCTTAAAAAGGTAAACATTACATCTGTACATATGCACAGACACACACATATATATATATATACATACATAAGCACACACATATATATATGTACGGTATGCGTCCGAGTTGGTTTCATTTATATGTTTTTCAAATCCAAACTTCTCTCGGCCCTTCCAGAATGGTGCTGACGCGGCAGCGTGGGCCTCATTTCAGTATCGCGGCTTCGCTCCCGTCGTTCAGCAGTGGCGCTCTCGCTCCAGCGCGGGCCACTTGTCTGGATTCGGGTCCTTCCTCGCCGTTGCCCCCCCCTCCTCCTTTCCCCTCCTCCGCCTTCCCCTGGCCCTCCTGCTCCTCTCGCTCCTTCCGCTCCAACTCCTCCTCCTGCTGCTGTGCGTCCACGTCTTCGTCCTCCTCCCTTCTCCTCCTTCTCCTTCCGCTCATCCTCCTGCTCATGTCGCCACCTCGTCCTCCCTCCATGTACGTAGTTTTTCTTTCTCCGACTGCGCATGACAAGGTAGGAAGATTCTTGGAATTCCAGGTCCGCTGTGACACGCGTCTGCGGATAGAGACACATCAGCGCAATCGGAAAGGACGGGTGGGAGGGGAATGATTTCGGATGCGGCACGAGCGCACCTAGCTTGTCTCTCCTCTCCACCTCCCCTCCTGAACGCCCACCCTCCCTCCTAATTCGCAACCTCTCTCCTTCCGCATCCCTTCTGCCTCTTTCTCCCTCCTCCTCCTCCTCTTCCTCCTCCTTCCCTTTCCCTTCTCCCTCCTCCCTCCTCTCTCCTCCCCCTCCCCTTCCCCCTCCTCATCCCTCCCTCCTCGTGGAGGAGCCTTCCCTGCATCCCTCCCTCCCCATCGGGCTGAGACTCCCGCTCTGTAATCCGTGACTGGCCTCCCCGCCTCTGCGGGGCCTGCAGGGGGGGCCGTGGGAGCCAGGGCCGCCATTTTCCCCCGGAGGAGGAGGAGGAGGAGGAGGAGGAGGAGGAGGAGGAGGAAGAGGAGGAGGAGGAGGAGGAGGAGGAGGAGGAGGAGGAGGAGGAGGGGCTGCAGGAGAGTTCTTCCCTTGCCCCCCCTCCGATCCCCTGCTGGCGTATCCTCACCCCTCTTCTTCCGCTCGTGGAGACGCGCGGCCGCCGTGCCAAGTATCAAGACTGCGCGCAGCATGCGACGGCTAGTTGCCCGTCGCTCCGCTGCAGGGCGGCGCGCGCAGGGCGCCGCTACAGCGCATGGCGGGCGGAAGGACCCGGAGCTGGCAATCTGTCGCTGGCGCTACCAGGAAGCGGAGGGTTCCAAAGGGGGTTTGGGGGAGGGGGTTTTCCAGGAGGGGGTCCCCCGGGGACTTCGCCCGTGTTTTGACGAGGTTCCGAGGCCCCTGGGGGGCTCTCTTGGAAAACCCCCTCCCCAAAAACCTCCTTTGGAACCCTCCGGGGACGCTGGACACGCATGACGCGGCCGGTCTTGGCGAGAACTGGGCGGGGCCTCTTTCCAGCGCGCGGCCCTGCTACTGCGGCGTCGGCCGGGCTTCCGCACGTGCATTCAACGCGTGGCTTGCGGATGTTCCACATGTGATCCAGCCGTGTGTGTGTGTGTGTGTGTGTGTGTTCCAGCGTCCTGGTAGCACTAAGTCGGGCCTGTCCCTCTACAGGAGGAATATTCAAAAATAGTTAAAAATACTATGGGGGATTTGTTTTTGACAATTTTTGAGTATTTGGGGAGTATTTTTTGAACATTTTCATTTTTCGCCCAAGATCCCCCTGTAGGGGGACACGCCCGACTTAATGGTAGCACTGTCCAGGCCCCTTGATCCAGGGTCGGTGCTCGTTGCTCCCTGGCCTGGCCAGGAGGGCCCACGCCACACTCCCCTCCCGGGCCCCGGGGAGGGGGGGGGGGAGCCTGTCCATCCCGGGCCCCGGGGAGGGGGGGGGGGGGGAGCCTGGCCATCGCCACGAAGGCCAGCGTGGAGCTGACAGATCCCCCGAAGGGATGACAGCGGTGCCGTCCAGTGCAGATGTGGCAAGCGGTACGGCTCGGAGGCGGACTTCCTTCTGGACTGGAGCACCTCCCACAAGAAGACCTGCCCCATGAGCGCGGCGATCATGTTCGAGGTGCCGCGCCCCGCCGCGCCTCTCGTTCCCCCTCTCGCCTCTCTTCTGCTGCTGCTGCTCCTCCTCCTTGTCCTCTTCCTCATTCCTCCCCCTCTCGCTCCCGCTCAGTCCCTTTCCCGCTCCCTCTCCTGCACCCGCTCCCCTCCCCCATTGCGCCCCCTCCCCCCCAATTCTCTTCCGCCTTCCCCCTTTCCCTTCCCCCGCCCCCTCGTAAACCCGGACATGTGATGTCCTGATTTTTTGTAGTTCGGGGTCCCTGGAAGTCCCGACCCTTTCTCCGGGGCCGGTTTTTCATTGGGAGTCGTTTTTTTGACGGTCCCAGGGCCCGGCCAGGGCCCCCCGAGCCCTCCGCCGTGTTGTTCACGACACGAGCATGTCTGGGTCCCCCTCCCTTCCGCCCTTCGTTTCGAGGTGAGAGAGGAGGTCGCCGCGGACCCCTCGAAGAGCGAGCCAACGGTCCTCGTGAGGGTCGCCTGCGGCCGCTCGCCGCCCGAGGTTGGGCCGGCGGCCTCGTCGGCGGCAAACTCCGGTGACGGTCTGTCCCTCTCGATGCGCTACAGGCTGGAGTAGGAGAAGGATGTGGAGGAGTTTCGAGGGAGGAGGGGAGGAGGAGCAGAAGGAGGAACATGGGGAGGAGAAGGAGGAAGAGGAGCACGAGGAGGAGGAGGAGGAGGAGGAGGAGGAGGAGGAAAAGGAGGAGGATGAGGAGGACAAGGAGCAACAGGAGGAGGAGGAGAAGGAGGAGGAGGAACAGTGTAAACCCAAGAGTCGTCAACGATGTTGGAA